TATAAAAACACTCAGGAATAGATAATAATTTAAACAACCAGAGGGCACATTCTGCAATTCTGCAATTCTGCAATCCTGCTTCCTGTCCACCAGCATTCAGTGCCTCTCTTTCCATGAGTCTAGAGTCCTCAGCTGCTCTCTCTCCATGTCCTCATCTCTGCCTCCATCTCTGGTGTTGCTGTTTCTCTGGATAGGGTCCCTAGTTTGTTGGGTTTTTTAAGTACAAAGAAAATGCAAAAGTGAACTATTTTTTGAAAATTAATAATTCCTGTTAAGAATAAAAAATAATAATATAATAAACCTTGTATAATGCTTGAAGTTTTAAACTGCAGAGAGCATAAAATGAGAAGCAAACACTTCCTTTCCCAGCACCTTAAGTCTCTCCAGAGGAAACCACTGTTAAGTTTCTTCTTACTCTTTTTTTATTTTTGGTGGGGGGGAAGAAAAAGAAAACAAAACTATATATTTGAGAATCTGTTACTATTTTTATGTTTCATTTGTTTGTTTTAAACTCAAAAGCGTTGTTACATATGCTGTTCTAAGCTTTGCTTTTTTCATGCATCATACTTTAGAGCACTTTGAGACAACAGACCTTTTCTCTATCATGGGTTTCCCTGTGATTTGGGCAGTTTCCTGCTGGGGACTGTTATAATAGAGTTGCAGTGAGCATCCTTGTTTATTTACTTTGGCATACTTTTGTAAGTCCCAATTCCTAGGAAAAGGAAAAGTACCTTTTAAAATGTGATGACTAAATTTTCCTCCAGAAAACTTGCTCCAGTGTGCATTCCCACTGGAAGTATGTGACAGAGAATACCTTCTTCCAAGTGACTGTAGAAAACCAGGAGGCTATGCTGTTTGTTGTCTCTTCCAGGAGCCCTTTGACATCTGCAGAGGGCAGATTGGCACCTGGCTAGAAGCAGGCCCAGCTCCTCTGCTGGTGGGCAGTGGCCAACTCCCTCCACTGTCGCCCTCCTCCATTGCAAGTCCCCATGGTGATAGTGAAATAACTGTCTTAATGGAGTGGCCAGCAGGCTCTTTTTTAGGTGGTGACAGGCACCTAGATTACCTTTACTCCCTTTTAATTTGAATCTCCCTCATCTTCCCAGGGAGCTTTTCCTGTTCATCCCTGGCTGAGAGACCTGGGCAGGAAATGAATGACTATGTTTTCTGACTCTTCCAGGTGAAGAAGGCCTACAGGCAGAAGGCCCTCTCCTGCCACCCAGACAAAAATCCTGACAATCCCAGAGCAGGTGAGACTGTCCTGTGGGCACGGGCATTGTGATTTCCCTGATCTAAGCTCTCCTTGAGTGCTGGGTGTGGAGCTGCATACAGCCTGCCTTTTGGGCAGTGGGGTGCAGGCTTCACCTCACATCCAGGGTGTCTGCTCAACTGTTAAAGCACATATCTTGCCTTGCTGTCATCTGCTGATATTGACTTTTCTGCCAACCAGTGGTGTCTTTGAAGTACTGTTTTGAGAGTTAGACCCTCACCAAGTCTAACTCTGCATTTCTCCCCTTTTTTTGATCCTGTGTTTAGCTGAACTCTTCCACCAGCTTTCTCAAGCCTTAGAGGTACTGACCGATGCAGCAGCCAGGGTAAGCACATTCTCCTTTGTCTGACTGTTCCTGTGGCTTCCTTGGTTGACCACCTGTTTCCTCCAACCTTAGTCCTCAGCACTCTACCATGTGACACAGTCCTTGCTCTCAAGCTCTGGAGACCCAGTCACCAGAATGCCTTTTTCGATGGCTCTGCCGAGTCAGGCCTGTGGGAGATTCTTGGGCCTTGTTCTTTTTCCCTGACTGACCTGTTGCTCTGTGTTCCTGTCTTCTGCCAGGCTGCATATGATAAGGTCAGGAAAGCCAAGAAGCAGGCAGCCGAGAGGACCCAGAAACTTGATGAAAGAAGGAAGAAAGTGAAGCTTGGTAGGTGACATCATAACTGCAGTTTTGGTTCCCCTTGGTCATTTTCATCCATCTCCCTTATCTCTCTTCCCAGGGAGCTTCCATGCCAGCAACTCAAAAGAACTCAAAGAACCCTGTTCTCAGGGGCTGAATTCTAATGACACTCTTAGGAATAATAACAATTATTAGATTTTCTATTAGCTAAGCATCGTGACATACAGTTTATTGTTTTCTGTAATTATCACCACCCTTGGTTGTGTGTGCTACTAGAGCCATCTTTATAGACAGAGAAGCCAAAGCACTGAAAGGCTTTGAATTTGCTGAATCTGGGACTTAAGTCAACACAATCTGACCAAAGTCTGTGCTCTTGTTCATTGTGCCATGCTGCACTTGTTTTTATTTGGCCCAGCTTTCATTTCTGCCTAGGACTTTCACTCTGAGGAAGCATCCGAAGAGATCCAGATCCAGCCACTCTTTCTTTTTCTTTAACAGCTCTATTGTCCCTACTTGGTGCAAATAGTTAATGCACTTGGCTGCTAACTGAAAACTTAGACATTTGAGTCCACCCACAGGCATCTCATTGAAAACCCTCCAGGGAGCACAGTTCTGCTCTGACACGTGATGTTCCCATGCATTAGAGACGATGGCAACTGTGGGGTTTTTCTTTGGTATATTTGACATATCATAAAATTTGCCCATTTCAAGCATATAAGTAAATTTATTGAGTGGTGCAACTATGACCATAAGTCAGTTTGGGAACATTTTCACCACCCCAATAAGATTGAGCACGGCCTTCTTTATTCAACAGCCGCATTCTTATGCATACCCACTCATCTGTCAGTTTGTCATACTATAGTGGCTTGTGTGTTGTTATAATACTGGAAGCTATGCCACCGGTGTTTTGAATGCCAGCTGGGTCACCCATGGTGGACAGGTTTCAGCTGAGCTTCCAGACTAGGACAGACTAGGAAGATGGAGAGGTGGACTAATTCAGAACATTTAGCCACTGAATAACAATGGAACACTGTCAGCACCACAATAGGGGGCTTCAAAAAGTTAGTGGAAAAAACGGAATTAGAGGATAACAGAAAATTTCCACAAATATTTTGAAGCCCCTTATGTGTATATGCCTCCCAGTACTCCCACTTCTCTATCAGAAAGAAAAAAAAAACAAAAAAAGAGTTTCTAGGCAAGTGAAGAGCACAGAAAGGAAACAGTGAGCCCCAGGCCTGATAGGACCTGGGGTAATGTCCATCAAGAGCCATTGTAGCTGGAGGACATAAAGGAGGCAGTGGGAACTCAACTGGGGGAGAGGGGGAGGAAGAATCAAAGCCAAGGCAAGGTCCATGGTGTCAAACCACAGGATCAGAGGTGGCCAGCAGTTCCACCCACTGACACCCCCTGACACATAGCCTTGGGCTGCTGATACAGGCACCCACCGCACCCTGTGCAGTGATTGGAGAGAAAACCAGCCTGGTTAGAGTGAGCCACCAGCCAAAAATCTGTGCTGATTTTTCTCAGTGGAAATCAGTTCAGGACATGTGGACCTGGAGGGAGGGACCTGAGCTACTGTATAGTTTTGTCCTGTTTGGGACTTTGGGCTGAGGCCATGTAGAAAATGCTTAGACTAGCAATTGGGTCATTCAACCCTTGTGCCTAGACCTGGAGGCCCGAGAGCGGGAGGCCCAGGCCCACGGGAGTGAGGAGGAGGAGGAAAACCGGAGCACCCGGACGCTGGAACAGGAGGTAAGCATTCAGGCCCAAAGGCCATCTGTTGGGAAAGGAGGATGGTCCTAGCTAACCGTCCAAGTGGGGGAGGGTGTGCTCTTTCTCTTGAGGGATCTGGGTAATTTGTTCCACCCACAGGTTACTGAGCCGTAGCTTGCAGGTAGAACTCAGGGACTTTTACACAGTGAGAAAACCTGGAATTGGATCTGCACAGAATTGTCACCCCTCCTCTCCCCCAACTCCTGCTCTGCAGATTGAACGCCTACGAGAAGAGGGCTCCCGGCAGTTGGAGGAACAGCAGAAGCTGATCCAGGAGCAGATACGTCAGGAACGGGAACAGAGGTTGAAAGGTGAGAGTTGATCACACCCACCTGCCACCCCTCTCAGGCTGCTCTAGGTTGCATGGAGTGGCCACACTAGCTGCTTAGTGGAATAGCTGTGGAGGCTTCCACCCGCCGGAACCCCTGGGAGTACATGGGGAGCAGAGTGTGGCTCCCCACAATGACTCAGACACGTGCTCCTGTCCCTTCTTCTTGCCAACTCTCTGTGACCTATCTCCTTTTTTCTCTGCCTGAGACTTCCTGTGCCTATTTGGCTTTGTCCCAAGCAGAGCGACTGTTTTAGAGCATTCCACCAGGGAAAAGGCCTGGTTAGATTTGGGGCTTTGGAATACTTTGTTTTAGTAGAATTGTATGGTTCATATCTTTACCTCCTGCTCTCCAAATCCCCCCAAAGGTGTTCTCAGTGCTTCATTTGGAGAGTGCCGATAACAGATGGTCTATAATAGGTAGTTGGGAAGACCACCCCCGGAATGGCAGCTCTCTGGGATGGAGGTGGGATTATGTCTACATCCCCACCAGCCTCCTCAGCAGGGCAGGGCACATACTACCCTTGACCAGGTGTGACCTTTTCTAGGTCCTTCTAAGGCTCTGATCTTTGTCTCCTTGGAGAGAACCTCTGACCCCTTCTAACTCTACCTTGCTTCTGTTCCCATTTTTTCTAGGAAAGGTAGAAAATACTGAAGGCAAAAGCACTCCCAAACTAAAAGTGAGTCCTGGTAGGATCCATGGGTTACCTCACCCCACATCCTCTCAGTAAGAACAGATGTTTCCTATGGGGGTTCTGGCGAGGGGTGCTAGGTCACTGGGAATCCAGGACACTGCCCACATCCTTTGCTGTCTCCTGGATGTCAGGATTACTTCTTTGAGCTCTGCCCTGGAAAGTTGCTTTTAACTTCGATGGGCTGACCACATTGCTGAGGTGAGCAAGACACCCTGCCTATCAAATTTCAGGGAGAGCATTTCTGGGCAGTCCTTTCTGGACTACAGGTGTCTTGAGGGATGTCTGCTCAGGTATAAAACTCAGGCGTGGGTCTGGTACTGTTCAGCCAAGGGTCAGTGTTTAATGATGGCGCCACTGCTGTCTTTTCAGCTAAAATGGAAGTGCAAGAAGGAGGATGAGTCCAACGGTGGCTACTCCAAAGATGTCCTCCTGCGGCTTTTTCAGAAGGTCTGCCCTGATGTCGTCCTTTCTTTCTCCATTATCTTGGCCCAAATTCCAGGACACTACATGCCTAAACCTCCCTTAGCATTTCTGTTGTTAGGTGCCATCAAGTTAGTGCCAGCACATAGCGATCCTCTCTATACAATAGAATGAAACATCACCTGGTTCTACACCAACCTCACAATCGTTGCTACATTTGAGCCCATTGCTGCTGCCACTGTGCCAATCCATCTAGTTTTTTATTCTGACCCTCCATTTTACCAAACATGATATCCTCCTCCAGGGACTGATCCTCTTGATGATATGTTCCAAGTATGAGATGAAGTCTGGCCAAGCTGACTTCTAAGGAGCATTCTGGCTGTACTTTTTCCAGCACAGATTTGTTTGTTCTTTCATCAGTCCATGGTATTTTAAAATATTCTCTTCTAGCACCATAGTTCAAATGCATCAATTCTTCTACGGTCTTCCTTATTCCCTGTCCAACTTTCACATGCATATCAGGTTATTGAGATACCATGGCTTGGGTCAGATGCCCCTTTGTCCTCAAACTGACATCTGTACCCTTGAACACGTTAAAGAGGTCTTGTCCAGTAAATTTGCCTAATGCAATACATCATTTGATTTCTTGACTGCTGCTTCCATGAGTGTTGATAGTTTTTTGAGCATAATGAAGTCTTTGACAACTTCAATCTTTTCTCCATTTATATGGATGTTGTTTATTGGTCTCTACACATTTACGGAGCTTTGGCAGTGTAGTGGTTACGAATCGGGCTAATCTCACGGTCAGCAGTTTGAAACTACCAGCTGTTCCATGGGAGAAAGATGAGGCTTTCTGCTCCCGTAAACATTTAACAGCCATGGAAACCCTATGCAGGGTCGCTATGAGTCGGAACTGACTCCACGGTACTTAACAACCCATGTTTTATTTTTGTCTGTCTTATAGACCATCGGGCAATCTGGAGACCTCCTAGGGAGGAGACCTCCCTGCTTCTCCTGCTGTTGTGTTAACCTGTGTTGAAAGCCCCGTCTGTATACTTCACCACCGTCAACCCACTGAGGCAGCTCTGTGACTCTGCCTGTCTAAGTCCCCAGTCCTTTGTTGTCCATTTGCATTCCTGGGAGAAAAAAACTCTTCCTTTTTTTTTTTTTTCCTTTAAATTTTATTAATTTTGTTGTTGTTGAGAAGATAGCCAGCAAAACATACACTCTTTGAAGCCCCCTCATATGCGGTAAAGCGTATACCAATACGATGGTTTCTGCATGTAGAGTTTAGTGATGTGTACACTTTGTGCACTCACTCTCACCATCCTCTTCTGAGTTGTTCCTTCCCCATGAACATAGACTCACTGCCCCGTTAGGTTCCTATCTCATCTTTTGAGTTGCTGTTGTCAATTTAGATGTTTTTAAAAGAGCAGAATGCTCAAGGCAGAACTTTTTTGCTAGTTAAGCTAAACTGTTGTTTGGTTTTAAGAAGACTTCAGGGAATTTTTTTTTTTTTTTTAAGTTTTTGTTATGAATTGAGTGATATTTGCATGGGGGAACATCAGTTTTACACTCATCGTTTCATTGCAATGATTACAGTCTCCTCTGTGCATCATCATTCAATAGTATTTGCTTCTATTCCTTCCGGTGTTTTTTTGGGGGGAGATGGGGGATGTACACCAAAATACTCAGGAATATATAATCATTTAAACAACCAGAGGACACATTCTGCAAGTCATGAGTCTATCTCCAGGCCCTTATCTCTGTCTCCATCTCAGATGTTCCTGCTTCTCTGGATAGGGCCCCATATTCTGCTCATGCTCTTCTCCTTTGATGGTCCTAGGGTTCTCTGTTCCTGGACTGTACAATTAACTACTACTCAGGGAATATTTTTACTTTAAGGTTTAAAAATTATCTCAGGGCAATCATTTCAGAGATTCATCTATCTTCCATGACTCCAGAAACTTTACATTCCATGAGAATTTGAAATTACTTCTGTATTTTCCCCTTTTTGATTATCTCCTGACAAAGGAGGTAGGTTTTTGGTTTTTTAATGTTTTATTGTGAATTATGTGATAGTTTACATGGGATAACATTAGCTTTACATTCATCCTATCGTATATTGTTTCATTGCCATGGTTACAATCCCCTCCATACATCTTCAACCAACCAAAGGGTATACCCTGCAAGCCTGCCCCCCAGTTGTCAGCACACGGCCCCTCTCTCCCTCTCTGGTTCTAGAGTCCCCAGCCACTCCATCTCTCCATGTCATGGTCTCTGCCTCTATCTCTGACATCACTGTTTCTCTGTGTCAGGTCCCGCACTCCGCTCTTCTCCTTTGATAGTCCCAGGGACCTCCACTCCTGGACTGCAAAGTCAGTCACTCTCCACATTTTTTTTTTTTTTTGAAGTGAGTTTCAGACTTTATTAAGCTGGCTGGCTCAGGGGAGCTGATTTCTCCAAATTCTGAGAATTCTGAGCCACTCCCCACCTTTTGATACAAAACGTCTACCTTTACATTGCCAACTGTCACAGTCAGTCCTGATAACAATTATTCACTATTGTACCACAAGGGACCTATCCCCATCTCCAAAGGAGGTAGTTTTATTAGTGACAATTTGCCATACATTCCATATCCTGATTCTCCTTCTTCCTCTGTTGCTCCAGGTGACTAAAGACCAATTGTACCTTGAATGGCCTGTTGCAAGCTTTTAAGATCCCAGGCATTATGAAAGGAACTAGGAGGTAGACCAGAAATGCTAAAGGAGTTATGAGGCCATTCACTTAACTGAGATATCCCATGAAACCATGGCCCTAAACCTCCAAGCCCAGGAACCAAATCCCATGTAGTGTTTGATTGTATATAAATGGCTTCAGCAGCTACTCCCTGTTTTTGCTTTGATCGGTTAATGTACAAATCACACAACTTTTGCCAGTTCAATTCAACTTCTTCCTGGTGTGCAACTTATTCACAGTAATTACAGTCATTGTCTCAGCAACCCTGTCCTTAATCAGTGCAATTTCCCATTACTATTAACCTTCATTTCCCTCCCCCTTCCTTCCCTCTCTATGGAAAAAACTTCTTTCCCATCACTGATTATTGGTGAGGGTTGCACAGCATCAATTAATTAATTGGTTACCATAATTAATATTATTAAATCGTATGCATAGAAAACATCAAATTGGCAAATGTTTTGTTATATATAGTTTTATAACAATAAAAAAGAAGTTTTGCCCCAGCTGACCATGCCCCAGTGGACCTCAGGATAGCCCAGGCTTGTCGCTGGCATGAGCTGGTCCGTCTTGAAGGCTGATCCATGCTTACTGGGTCCCCTCTTGTTCCCACAGTATGGTGACGTTCTCAACCTGGTGCTTTCCAGGAAGAAGGCAGGCACAGCAGTGGTGGAGTTTTCGACCATTAAGGCTGCAGTGAGTGTTGCATGAGGCTTTGGGGGCCATTGGCTGCTCTGTCACTCTAGAACAGGGGGTTGAGTTCTGTGGACCTTCTGAGGCAGGTGAGCCCCAGTCCTAGGGGAATCTCTGGCCCAGGGTTCCACCCGACTCCTGGAGTTAGCTGTACTGCATAAAGGGCTGCATAGAAGATGCTGTGGGGACTGAGAGAGAGACTGATGTTGGTTCCCTGCTTGCTGACTGCTGCCTCAATGCCCTCCACCCTCCTATAGAAGACAGCACCCCTCCGGGCATGGGCTTCTGCACTGCCTTCTCAGTGCAGGCTGCTTCTCCTCACTTCTGAATGTCAGAAGGCTCATGCCCAGCTCTCATGAGAAGAGTCAGAGGTGCAGCATACCACTGACAGCTACTGAGGTTGCCCGACTGTGCTTGGAGGATTAGAATACCAGTTTTCATTCTTTCTCTCAGGGTAGAGAGAGCCATTCATAACTGATTAGGTTCATGAGAACCAGGACTGGATACTCTGTTTGGTAGGAGCTGGCTGTCCAGAACGAGGTGGGCCTGGTCGAGAACCCTCTGAAGATTTCCTGGTTGGAAGGACGGCCCCAGGGCACGGTGGGCCTTGGCCACCCAGGACTGTCACAGGTAAAGAGCCAGGCATGATCAAACTGGGCCTACTTAGGTTTTGGGGGGCTTCCTATTTGGGCTTTTTTCAGGTCTCTCTCCCAAATTCAAGTCATCAGGGAGTGCAGTGAGATGGACTATGATTCTGTAATGACCCCCTTTCCTTTCTGAGACTATCTTCCCTCACAGTCAGGTCTCTCATCAGTACCCCCAACCCTATAAAGGGTTGCCATGAGCCAGGACCGACTTCACAGCACTTAACAACAACAACCATCATTACCCAGAGGGATTCGCTTGGTCCCTGGGTGACTTGGTTGTGGTGCGAAGCATTTGTTACTCAAAGGCTCAGTCAATGCAGGGAACTAGACACGTCATTTTTCAAAATAATGTATGTGTTTGCCCTAGACAGGGACCATTGTGAAGAGAGACTGTCTCCTTTGCTGGTTACCCTGCTGATTGGGGATTGCCTGTCCAGAGTCTGGGTGCCCAACTTGTGAAGAATAGACCTTCCAGCTGACATGTGCCCAACACAAACGCAGTCTTCACAGCTCTGTGAAGGCATCCCTCCTATGGCCCTAGACACAGAGCTGAGGCTGTCTGGCTCCGGCCACACCTGTCCCTACTTTGGTACAGAAAGCTTTGGGGGCAGGAGCTAAAAATCTAGCTCTTCTCTGAAATGACTGGGGAGTCAGGGCATGATTTATAGCCTCTTGGGAGGAAAATGCCCCTCCAAAACTTGGCAGGAACACTGCTTTCCTTGCCCTCAGGTACTGCCTTCCCCTTCCTTGCCTTCTATACCTCCCCTCCTTCCCTTTGGTTGTGAGGCTTGGAAGCTTCCTGGAAGTGTCCCAGGCCCTGAGAAGGGAGGGAAATGAACTGGTAGCTTGAGCCCAACTCAAGACCTTTCTTTAGAGTCCTCATTCCACCACCTTTAAGTTTCATAGCCCCATGTAACACACCACAGGTTGTGTTAGAATTTTATTATTATCTCCAGTATTCACAGAGTTGCCTTTCAGCTGGGAAATCCACACAAGAGGTTGAGGCAAGAGGGAGCTGCAGGCGTGGCTGTGGGAGCCTTGTGTGTGGAGCTTCCCTCTCTGCCTCACTTGGAGATGCCTGGAGGGTCAGAACCACATGGCCAAGCAGACAGCTTGTAGGCTCGAGTCTCAAGTCTTTCAGCCAGACCATGAGGCAGAACAGCTGCACTTGGGGCCCTTACCCAGTGAGCTTGGCGCTGGTTGGCAGGCTCTCATCAGAGGATTCGGACAAGGCAGAGCTCCCAGTCCTGGTGGAGGGTTCTGGAGACCAGTCGTGCCTCTTAGTAACAGTCATGAATTTACTATCTATCCCCTAATCCAGTTCTCTCTTCTAGTCTTGTGGGGAAGCAGGAAGGAAATCTGCCACATTTTTGCTGTACTTTCCAAGGGCTTCCATCACTATTAATAATTCTGGGAATTACTCAAACAAAGCACCTCTTTGAAAACTGGGTCTGATGCCTTCAGCTGGTATTCCCCAGAGCTGCTTTCCTTGGGCACCAGAGATTGCTGTGAGCAGCTGTGCTGGCAGGTCAGGTTTCTCATGTCCCTGTTCTGTTGATGGTTGGTTTGGGCCTTTTTCCTGAGTAATTACTTTGTATCTCTACATAACTCTCTCTTCCTACTTTGCCAGCCCCTGCCTCCCCTTGTAGCCCCTGTACCATTCCTCCCCCCCCCCCCCCCCCCCAATGCCATTGATGGCTCCAAGCCATGGCCACCACAGTGTTGTCACTAGAACTTTGCACAGCGATGTCAGTGTTCATTGCATGCTGGCCAGTGATCACTAGTCACAGGGAACTGTTGAGCACTTGAAATGTGGCTAGTGTGACTAAGGAACTGAAGTTTTCATTTTATTTCATTTCAATACATTTATATTTAAGTAGCCACCTCGGCTGACTAATGACTGCCCTGTTGGACCATGCCAGTCAAGTCTGTCTTAGCCCTTTCTCGTTGGTCCCAGCCCTCCCTGTGACCTCTGTGTCGACAGTGGTACCCGTCTGTTTTGCCTAGTCTGTGCCCTCCCACCCTGTGGCTTCCCTCTTGGCCATCCTCTCCCTTGCTGGCTCTCTGCCTCTTGTGGTTGCAGGGTGTGGTTCCATTTCCCAGCCTCGCCAGCTTCCTTCAGTGCTCCTGCCAGGAAGTCCCTTCTCACAGCTTGCCTTTTCACCTCTCTCCCACCACTCTGGGGAGGCTTGGAGGGCTGTTTGGGGCCCAGAGGGTAGGCAGAGCCCTGGGGTCTTGGCCCTACCTTCCCCTCAGTCCACCACTGTACCCACTGGGCCCTCAGACTTCCAGCTCTTCCAGTCACCCACCTTTTTCCACCCTCACCCCTGTCAGAAGCTGGGCTCACTGGGAAATTGCTCCCTCAGTATTTGTAGAACTTCCTCAAGAAGTGAAATACCCAGGTCCACTTTGAAGGAGAAGAAGGGATCACTGAGGTCCGGGGCAGGTGTTTCTTGAAAGCGGGGAGTGTCCACAAGGTCCTCCTCTGAATACTGGTGGAGGGCACCTGCCAGGGAGAGCGCTGAGGGCAGAGTAGCTGAGTAGGCAGCAGAGTAGGCAGGAGAGGGCTCCAGGATGTTAGGGCAGCTGCAGCTCTCTCGGTAGAGCCGTGGGGGCTTGGGTGGAGCCAGTAGGGTGGCCCTGGGCTGCTCATCCCCCCATAGGGGCAGGCGCCGTCCGTCAGGCCTCCCTCGCAATTCCCGGATGACCTCTCGGTTGCTGTATTCCTCATGGTCACCACCAGCTGTGCTGGCCTGGCTGAGCACACTGCCCTGTCGCTGGAGTCGCCTCGGCCGCCCCAGGGTCAGTCGCTTGAAGAAGGAGGCGTTGCGGAAGGAGCCTTTCCTCCAGGTCTCCATGGGTCCACAGGTACCAGCTGACAAGCCTGGCCCTCAGAAGCCTAGCAGATGTTCAAGAGCATCAGCCCCAGCTGGAGCCGGGATTGCAAAGTTCAGGAAGCCAGTCTTAGTGGGCCAGGAGCAGAGACCCCTGGGTATGTGCTCAGCACAGCTCTGTGGCCAGCATCATAGAGGTGGAACGAAGCCCAGAGAGGGCACTTTGTCCAGGAGAGGAAAGCTGAGGGTTCCTGAGGAGGAGTTTCCCAGAGGAACAGGAGTGGCTCGGTTACTTGATAGGGCAGTGGAAAAAACCCCAAGAGGCAGGAGGTACACTTACTGAAGCCGGAGTCTGGGCAGCATTGTGGTATCTGAGAAGACTTGGCAAGCTGGACCAGGACAGCCAGTGTGCTGAGTCCACAGAGCTGGGCTGGGATGCAGTGCGGGTGGAGGGCCAGCCAGGCCGGGATCTCCCTGTCTTGAGGTTCCCTTGGCCCCTGCGTTGGTCTCTAGGGCAGTGTTGGCTGTGCCTGCTGTGCCTTCTCTGCCGGCGGCTCTGGACTCTGATTAGTGGCTTGGCTGTTTGCTCCAGTGCGTGGTGGTGGAGATGTGTTTTGTTTTCAGCTGACTCAGTCAGGTGGGAAGCCGGGTTTCATGCTTTCAAGTAATTGCAGCATCCTTGTACAGGGATTGGGGCGGCTGTGGCCAACACCCCAGGGCAGTGGGGAGCTTCAGATTCCTCAGAGGCCTTGTCTAGGGGCAGCCCTGCTTTCTGTGTCACCACAGCTTCGTTTCTCATTATGGTGGGCCTGGCTCCCCAGCCCCAATGTCTGGGAAGGAGGAGCTCTGGGAGGGCGGGACATAATTGAAAGGCAGGAACATGGAACCATTGTTGGGGAAGGAAGAGAGACTGGTCGCTGGTGTGGGTGACTCAGCCCCACAGCCTGGTAGCAAGCCCTCATTAGCAGAGCCTGCAGGTGTGGGGGAAGGAGGCAGAGGGTGTGTTAGTAGGGAGCAGCCCATGCCTATAAAAAGGGCTCAGCTCCTCCCAGGATTGGGTTCAGGGCATGCCAAAGGTGACTCTAGGCTCTCCTAGCAGAGCAGGTTAATTTGGGGACGGAAGTGTTGCTCTCTCCTTCATCTGACCCCCCCCACCACCACCACCACCACCTGACTGCTCAGTTTTTCATCCTTTCTGGCTGATGGCCTCATGGCAGGAGTAAAACGGGTTGAAAACCAGGGTCTTGCTGTCCCTTACCTCACACACTCTAGTTTTCCCCTTTGGCTGTGTAGGCCTCATTTGGGCTCCCTTCCCTGGAAGAGTCTAGACCATGAGGACATCATGAGTTGTCAGTGGTGCTAGGGGTCAAACTTAGGGGAGCCTGGAAGAAAGGGAGAGAGGAAAAGAGGTAGAGCAGGCCAGAGAAGGCAGGGGGAATCCTGGCTGAGTAACACTTCCTGTTTCTGTACACCCCTTACTCCAAACCAGTTGGTCAGGGCCTGGCATCTCAGCCTCAGCCACTCCCTTATTTCTCAGGTCACTGACCACCAAGCTTCCCGCCTGGCGTGTTCCATGAGTGTGCCAGTCTGGTGTACCCATGGAACAGGTCCCAGCAGCCTCCTCCCTGATGGTTCACAGCATCATGCAACCCCTACTCTGGCTTCCTCTGTGCCAACTCAGGTGGGCTTCCCCCAGGGCTTTGAACCAGTTCCAACCAGTTCAGTCATGACTGACAAAGCAAAATCAGAACAGACTCAAATTTTACAAATTCGAGTGATCCAGAACACTAAGCTGATTGGAAAAACACACCGTTAAAGACCTGGAATGGGAGATTCAGGAACCTAGTGCAGAAGATTGGATTATTGCCAGGAGAGCAACACAGATTGAAAGCCGCACAAGGGCCGCCATCCTTAGAGGTGGACACCGCTGTTTTGATCTCTGCTGGCCAAGAGATACGGTTGCTATGCAGTGTGCACAAAGGCTTTGTTTTCTAGCAGTGTGTCAATGTATAAATATTCCCATTCTGGTTCACCCACATTTTAAAGATTCGGGTCAGTTCTGGCATTGCCTTGTCAGCGTGGTAGCTTCATACTGTCTCCAAGAAGCTGTAGGCCCACAAGATCATCACAGCTCCAGCTGCACTGAGGGAGGAGGTGATTTAACTCCTACTGCGGCCTTCTCAAGGTGGGGAAAGGGGGGGTGTTGGCAGTTCACGTGCTACTGTAGAGCTACTTCACCACCCCACAATCTTGGCCCATTGAGAAGGTGGTTTATTATTCCTTAGATTATTAAAACATAGCACGCCTTAATCCCCCACACAGAGCTGGCAAGATCACAAAGAAAAAACCCCTGGCTCCTGCCCTCCAGGAACCTGTTGTGTATTTTTAGGCCAGCCCAACCCATACTTGTTTCTCTCTCCTCCTAGGGGAGGACTCCCTTCTGCATCTTCAGTAGGAGGCGGACCAAGTCGCCTCCACTTGGATGCAGGGAGCAGAGTGACTGAACCTCCGACAGCTTGCCTTCATCAGAAAGCTGTGAGGCAGATCCGGTGTAGAGGAAGGGAGTGTCAAATAAAGGGCTGAGAGGAAATGAAGGGAGGCGAGGGCCTGGCTAGAGCAGGGGAAATGATTCACCCCAACACGAGCCAGAGCTGACTGCAGATGTGAAGGGCCGGGTGACGGGGAGCGGGCTAGAAGAGAGTCGAACCCGGAGAAGCCCGCTTGCTGTGAAGAACTGGATGAGTCGGTATTCTTGGATGATCCCTGGTCCTTCCTGAGCAGCCAGTCCCCCGCCCTCCTTCCTCCTTAACCCTTAGATTGAAGCGCTGCTACATTGTGCCCTGCTCTACCTTCCAGGGCTCAGTACTATCGGAGAGGGACTATGAGAGTCTCGTCATGATGCGCATGCGCCAGGCAGCTGAGCGGCAGCAGTTGATCGCCCAGATGCAACAGGAGGATGAGGAGGGGCCGCCCACGTAGCACCCCCCGCCCGCACCCCTCTTTCCAGTTCCGCCCATTTTATAGCCATCACCAATAAACTTTTTTTTTTTAAGAGTCCCTCTCTATTACGTATATGGGTGTAGGGTGCTGCCTGCCCAAGCAGGGTACTAGTTGCTGGGCACTGCCTCCAGGGCTCCCGCCCAGGCCTGGGTCTCCCTCTCTGGGAGGAGAGGTTGGCCCTAGTGAGAGTCAGTGCAAGAGCAGAGCAAAGGAGCAACCACTCATCACAGCCCTTTATTGGCTTGGATTAGCTAAGCGGGACCCACCACCCAGGGCCTGGGGCCATCCCCACTGGGATGCCTGGTGGTGGACCAGAGCAGCCTGGCTCTTCCAGGCCCCTCATCATGCCCACAGAGCATGACTTACTCCAGGGTCCGTCAGGAACACCAGGGCAAGGAGTCCTGCCCTCTCCAAAGGACAGAGGCAGGATTTCAGAGAGGGCCACTCCTGACCATTGGTGCTGAACCGAGGAAAGTGAGTTTGGGAAGGGAAGGGCAGGGCAGTCAGCATGGCAGGGTTTAGGGCCCACAGTAGCTGCTCCTTGAGGTCACTCCTTATGTAGGCACCACACCAGCGTCTGGCCCACCCCTGTCATGCTCAACACACGGAAGCCCTTCTGTTCCAGCTTGTCCAGGACTATGCGGGGAGGGTCATTGACGTAGTACTCACAACTGTGAAGAGACCAGGAGGGGTGGCATGAGGGGTGCACATATATCGAGTGTCCCCCCTGCCACAAGGCACAGCATGATCAGGAATAATCACTGCCCTTCCATGTAAGTGGTTCCTGCACTGTGTTAAGTGCAGGTCCCCCACCCTCTCCCCACTAAGCACTTTACATGCAGAATCTCACCTATCCCTCCCAGCATCCTAGTGAGAGACTATTATTGTCCCCATTTAATAAGTTTAAAAAAAGGGGGGGGGGTTAAGTAACTTTCCCAGTGTCAGATAGTACCACCCATGGTCGCCTGACAACAGCCACATGTGCCCTGAGCCACAAAAAATCAACCAGCTCTCCCAGAATTCGCTCCTCTGCCCCTTCCTGCTGCCCTTAGTATCTGCAGTCCTGGGGCAAGTGCCTGGATCTATGTGGAACTGTCTGGCAGCATGAATGCATGGGTCCCAATCTTTCAGGTTTAATTAATGATGCAGGGTCAATGAGCAGATCAAGGGCTCAAAGCCCCAAGCTGAGAATCTCAAGGCAAAACCCTTGGAGCAAAGGGTTAGTGTTGGCTTCTGCCTCCAACCTTGATCCAAGGGCTGGGATCAGCTTGCCTTCTCTTTTCCCCTTTGAACTAGAGACTCATTCTGGTAACTCTTCTCTGGAGTTCCTGGCCTGTGGAGCCAGGCTTCTCCCTGCCACAGGGTAGAAGATGTGAGGGAGCAGGAAAGGAAGCAGTGATCACAGTGCAGACAAGGAGATGATGTGAAGAAGATGCCAAGGGAAAGGCAGAGTGTCCAGGCAGCAGCTGAGCTGTAAGTGGGACTCAGTCTTCTTGCTCATCATATCTAGGGTTTGGCTTCCTTACTCAGTTCTTTAAGACAGAAATCCTTCTCTCTGGCTACCTTTACCTTGACAGGGGCCAGCTTGGAGATGCAAAGGCAGGGCAAAGGAGGTTTGCTTATGGAGTCCGACACCCAAGAAACTAGACTCCATCCTGGTGTTGTGCTAAGGATGTCTTGTGGAAAGAGGGCCAGCGGGAAAACTTTCAGAGCAAGCAGATCCTTGGGAGACAGGATAGACTCCTACAGAGAACAGAACCCAAGGTACAAGCAGAAGGGCTCTGGAGCTGGGCAGTGGCATTGTCCCTGGGCTTGGCGGTTGTGTAAAGGGAATGGCCTGGCAGGGAGAAGACAACAAGGGATGCCACAACTTACAAATTGTTTCCCAGGACGTTTCTCTTTGTGGCTCCCAGATGCCACATCAGCTCCGGGTCTGAGTGCTCGTCGCCCACCATGGTGGGGCCCACCTCCTGCAAGGAAAACCACAGTGGCTGGCCTGTTGCCAAGTAGAGCTAGACAATCTCACCCTGCCAGTTTCTGTTAAAGGTTGGAGGAGGTGGGAAGGATCCTTGGGAGCTAAGGACAAACTGCAAAGGAAGGGCTGGAGCCTGACAGTGATCTGGTGACCAGGCTGAGAAATAGAGCCCTCCCTAGTCCCCTCTAAGCTGATGTGGGCATTAGAGGGGACTAGGTGACTACTGGCATCACCACCCTTCTGTCAGGCATCACCACCCATGCTTGTGTGTGTCAGAATCACCAGTGGAACAACAAATGCAAACAGAAACTTATACATGAATATTTATTACTTAAAATGGCCAAAAGTGTAAACCACCCAAATGTCCATTAATAGATGAATGGAAAAATGAAGCGTGGTATAGCTATGGATTATTCAGCAATAAAAAGACTGAAATACTGATACCTGTAACAATATAGCTGAATCTTGAAAACATGCTAAATGAAAAGAGCCAGACACAAAAAGACATGATTGCATGATTTCATTTATATGAATGTCTAAAATAGGCCAATCTAGAGACAAAGTAGATTTGTGGTTGCCTAGCTCTGGTAGTTGTTGTTGTTAAGTGCCGCCGAGTCGGTTCCGACCCATAGCGACCCTGTACAGGGTTTCCGAGGGTGTAAATCTTTACGGGAGTAGAAAGCCTCATCTTTCTCCCGCGGAGCGGCTGGTAGTTTCGAACCGCTGACCTTAAGGTTCGCAGCCCGATTCGTAACCACTACGCAACTAGAGCTCTGGTAGTAGTGGTTACAAATTGGGCTGCTAACCTCAAGGTTGGCAGTTCAAAACTACCAGCCGTTCCTCGGGAGAAAGATGAGGTTTTCTGCTCCCGTAGATTTACAACCTCGGAAACACTGTGCAGGGTCGTTATGAGTTGAAACCAAATCTTAACAACAACAGGGTGGCACTGTAGGATCAGCACTGGATTGTGAACCACAAGGTTAGCGGTTCAAACCCACCAGCTGCTCCTTGGAAACCCTATACAGGATCGCTATGAGTCAGAATTGACTTGATGGCATTTCACAACAACAAGGGTGCATCTAGTGGCTGTGTGTGGACCAGGGACTCGCACATGTGTCGTAGTGCGTCAGGTTGTCCTTTTCTTTGCCAAGTCTCTTTCCCTCTTTTGTACTGGAGCGGCTCTGTGTGGGGCAGAAAGGGGAGCTGAATGTGTGAGGCCAGGGCTCCCAGACGCCCCAGGAGGCTCGGACTTGTCAGACAGGTAGGACACGAGCACCTGGCCCCATTCAAAGCCATGGAGAATCTGGGCAAGCCAGCGCTTCCTGAGTCTCCGGTGCTGGGGCAGGACTTAGTCTGCAGCCCCAGTCTCGCTCTGGACGGCCCCCGGGCGGGGCCGGGGGGGGGCGTGTCCCGGGCGGACTTCGGATCTAGCAGCTGTCGGAGAGGAAGGAGCGAAGGAGCGACCGCTGCCACCCTCGGGCCTGAACCCGGCTCGAACTGGCCAGACGGCCGGTACTCACCATTCGGATCTGGGTGCTGATGAGCAAGTAGGGCATGGTGCGCGCGTCACCTCCAGGCTCTCACTCTGCTGCTTCCGACTCGGCGCCGATGCCTGCACCCTCCGGCTTTAGGACTGAGACCCACGGTCAGAGTCCCGTTACACCCGCTCGGGCCTCGAGCGGCACCAATCCCGGTGCTCCGGAACCGTGGCCACCGCCTCCGGCCAATCAGGAGCGGGCGCCGTGACGTGCCCCGTAACTCGACAATTTGGGGCCCGCCCCCTACCCGGGGGCTGCAGCAGACTTGAGTCTGGGGTATGGCCCTCGGCTTTTGCCGGCTAGTGCTTCCACTAACAGGGTTGTGTGTGTGCGTGCGCGCCTGTACCTTTGGTCGGCGGGGCGGGGCTGGATGGATTCGGTTGGCTGCGTGTTGACCCAGCGGTCTCTTACTTAAACACCTCGAGTAACAGGTTCCAAAGTCCTGCTGGGTCCCGCCCCTATCACAGTGAAGCAGTGCAGAGCAACCAGCGATTCTTCTGATATCAATGCCCCAGCCCACCTTGCCCAGGACACGTCTAAAGCTTTTAGCAGATCCTCACTTTCTCTCCCCAGAACCTACTGCTCGTTTTCCATTGATCCCTCGATGCCGGGAGACGGGGATAGGAAGTTTGTGGCTTGTCCAGAGTGCTCGAACTAAAATTCTGGGCATTCCTACCTCCCTGACTGTAATTTCCAATACAATAGCGGTTCCTTGTATTTCAGTTACCCTACAACAACAAGTAAATCACGTGGCGCTACAGGATAAGTACTGGACTGTTAGCCCAAAGTTGGAGGTTCAAACCCACCAGCTGCTCCTTGGAAACCCTATAGAGGGTCACTATGAATCAGAACCTACACGATGGCACTTAACAAATAAACCTGTAAAGGAACTGAGTGTTTGCCTGGGTGCCAGGGCTGAGAGTGGAACCTGTCTTTCCCTGCTGAGAACTACTCAGTGCATGCGCAGCAGAAGGCAACAAGACAACACTTGGAGCAAATGACACAATCTTGCTAGTACCTGCTACCAATGAAAGGACAGTGAGTTCATAGCCACACACTCACACCCTCATCCAGATGTATCAAAATCTGACAACTTAATATTCATCATCTGAATTGTTATAATTGGCTCTCTTAAAAAAAACAAAAAACTGCAAAACAAAACAAGAGAAAATGATCTATTCTGTAACCTTCCCTTCCACAACCCTAGCAGAATTAGCACTTCCTTCAAGGAGTATTTATATGGCATGCTCTGTGCCTCCAGCAATTTGATGGATGTGGAGAGACCTACCAGGGACACAATGTTAGGTGCCATTGGGCAGGGTCTGACCCATAGTAACCCCATGTACGAGAGAACAAGATAAACGAATAAATGAAACTCAGGCAAATGAAGAGGTGCTTCACAAAAGAGGAGATTGAAATTTCCAATACATATATAACAAGATGCTCAACATCATTACTAATTGGAAAATGCAAAATCAAACTACATTTTAAACCACAATGAGATATTATATTAAAGATGAATACGTGCACATACAAAATGTAAATATCCTGTGTTGAGAATTCAAATGGGTATGATTGATGCTATCAAGTTTGAAAACAATTTGATGATTTGACATCTGCTCCTGGTATGGCACTGTAGGATCAGCATTGGATTCTGAGCCACAATGTCAGCAGTTCAAACCCACCAGCTGCTCTTCAGAAACCTTACACAGGGTTTAAAAAAGGAATCATCTCATGCATGGAGGGGTTTGTAACCATGGCAATGAGACGATATATGATAGAATTAATGTAAAATTAATGTTCTCCCATGTAAACTATCACATAATTCACAATAAAATATTTAAGAAAAAAAAAGGAATCATCTCAGAAGCAGAAACAGATGATCCCATGACCATCAAGAAAGAAGAGCAGGAGTGGAGCATGAGATACTTACCTGGAAAAGTGGTGATAACAGAAGCCGTGACGTGGGGAGACAAAGCAGCTACAGGCTTCTAGGTCCACGGACCAAGTAAAGCTGAGTGCCTATGGGTAGAAGGCTGGCTTGCAGAATGTGCCCTTTGGGCATTTACAGACTGGCTCACAGAGCCTTGTAACACTTGCCCAAGCAGAGCAGAGGCCGAGGGACCACATGGCTGAAAGGCCCAAGACAAGAATGAAGTATGTCTGCAGTATGGAAGAGAAGAGTCATTCCTGACTGCATCCTGATTTGTTTCTGATCCTGAAATCTACCCTGATCACTTCCCTAATAACCCCACAATCGTGAGTGTTCTCTGTTGAGTTCTGTGTGGCCATTGCTGTTGAACTCAGATGTGAAGCAGAGTGTGCTATGCGAGGAATTGTTGGTGTCAGAATAAGGTAAAGAAGGTTGTAGGGTAGAGGCATGTCTGACCACCACATCATATGAATTGGCCTTGGGCTGATTTTGAGTTTCATTCTCTTACCCCCTTGTGGAGTCAGGGGAAGTCAGACATGGTCTCTGTGCCATTTTTGCAGTTGGCATCAGGAGTGGGATTCCCTGCAATGGCTTCAGACTCATGGAAACATGAGGTTTTATAAGAGAAAGAACAAAGGAGCATGGGAAGTGAAACTTGATTTTCAGGTGATTGTTTTGTTTTTGTTACCTATAATGGCTGAAAGGAATGTTGTTGTTAGGTGCCATCAAGTTGGTACTGGACTAATAGTGACCTTATGCACGACAGAACTAAACATTGCTCAGTCCTGTGCCATCCTTACAATCATTGCTATGATTGAGCCCATCACTGCTGCCACTGTGCCAGTCCATCTCATTCCAGGCCTTCCTCTCCTTTTCCGACCCTCCACTTTACCAAGCATGATGTCTTTCTTAAGAGACTGGTCCCTCCTAATAATATGTCCGAAGAAGGAGAGATGAATTCTGGCTATCCTGGCTTCTAAGCAGCATCTGGCTGTACTTCTTCCACCAATTTGTTCTTTTGGCAGTTCATGGTATTTTTAATGTTTCTCTCCAACAACATAACTCAAATTCATCAATTCTTCTATGGTCTTCTTTATTCATTGTCCAACTTCCACATGCATATGAGATTATTGAATATACCATGGCTTGCATCAGGCACACCTTAGTCCTCAAAGTGACGTCTTTGTTCTTCAACATTTTAAAGAGATCCTGTGCAGCAGATCTGCCTAATGCAGTATGTCCTTGGATTTCTTGAACTGCTCCTTCCGTGAGTGTTGACGGTTGATCTGAGCAAAATGAAATCTTAGACAACTTCAATCTTTTCCCCATTTATCTCGATGTTATTTATTAGCCCAGTGGTGAAGATTTTTGTTTTCTTTACATTGAGGGGCAAGCCATACTGAAGACTGTGATTTTTGATCTTCATTATTAAATATTATAAGTCCTCTTGGCTTTCAGCAAGCAAGGTTGTATCATCTGCAAATTACAGGTTGTTAACGAGTCTACCTCCAATCCTGTTGCCTCATATTTCTTCATATAATCCAGCTTCTTGAATTATTTGCTTAGCATGGTGGTGGTGGTGGTTATGTTCCGACTCATAACGACCCTGCATTGGATTTCCAAGGCTGTAAATCTTTGCGGGAGCAGAAAACTTCATCTTTCTCCTGCGGAACCGCTGGTAGTTTCAAGCTGCTGACCCTGAGGTTAGCAGCATGATTCGTAACCATACAGATTGATTAAGTATGGTGAAAGAATACAACCCTGGTGCACACCTTTCCTAATTTTAAACTATTCAGTGTTCCCTTGTTTTGTTCGAACAACTGTCTATTGGTTCCTCATGAGCATAATTAAGTGTTCCAGAGTACTCATTCTACGCAATGTTGTCCATAGTTTGTCAAGATCCACACAATTGAAAGCTTTGTGTAGTCAATAAAGCACAGGTAAACATCTTTCTGGTATTCTCTGGTTTCAGCTGAGATCCATCTGGCATCAGCAATTATATCCTTGTTCCACATCCTTGTCTGAATCCTGCTTGAACCTCCGGCAGTTCCCTGTCAGTGTACTGTTGCAGCTGTTTTTGAATTATCTTTAGCAAAATTTTACTTGCATGCAATATTGATATTTTTCTAGTGATTTCCTCATCCTCTCTTTGGAATATATACAAATATAGATCTCTTCCAATCAGTTGGCCAGGTAGCTTTCTTCCAAATTTCTTGGCATCTATAAGTGAGTGAGTGTTTCTAGTGCCGCATCAGTTTGTTGAAAGATTATAATTTGTACTCCATCAGTTTCTGGACTCTCGTTCTTTGCTAATGCCTTCAGTGCACACTGGAACTCTTCCTTCAGGATCTTTGGCTCTTGATCATATGCTACCTCTTGAAATGGTTAAACATCGACCATTTCTTTTTGGTACAGTGACTCTATTGTGTATTCCTTCCACCTTCATTCGATGCTTTCTGTATCATTCAATATTTTGCCATTAGAATCCTTCAATATTAAAAATTGAGGCTTTAATTTTTTCTTCACTTCCCTCTGCTTGAGAAATGCTGAGCATGTTCTTCCCTTTTGGTTTTCTAACTCCAGATCTTTGCACATTTCATTATAATATTTGACTTTGTCTTTTCAAGCTGCCCTTTGAAATCTATTCAGCTCTTGTACCTCCTCATTTCTTACATTTGCTTTAGCATCTCTACGCTGAAGAGCAAGTGTCATAGTCTCTTCTGACATCCATTTTGGTATTTTTCTTCTTTCTTGTCTTCTTAATGGCCTTTTGCTGTCTTTCTGTATGACATTCCTAATGTCATCCTACAACTCTCCTGGTCTTCGGTCATTAGTGTCTAATGCATCAACTCTGTTCTTGAGATGATTTCTATATTCATGTGGGTATGTCCAAGGTCATATTTTGGCTCTGGTTGACTTGTTTTCATTTTCTTCAGCTTCATGATCATTCATATGAACAATTGATGGTGTGCTCCACAGTCTGCCCCTGGCCTTGTTTTTGTTGATGACATGAAGCTTTTTCACCATCTCTTTTCACAGATGTAGTCAATTTGATTTCTTTGTATTTTGTCTGACAAGGTCCATG